ATGGTAGCCATTCTGACAGGTGTGAGGTGATATCTTGCTGTGGTTTTAATTTGCATTTCTCTGATGACTAGTGACATTGAGCATTCTTTCATATGTCTGTTGGTCATCTGTATGTCCTCCTTGGAGAAGTGTCTGTTCAGATCCTTTTTTAATTGGATTGCTTGTTTTATTGATGTTGAGTTGGGTAATTCTTTATATATTTTGTATATTAGCTCCTTATCAGATGGATCATTGGCAAGTGTGTTCTCCCAGTTCAGTGGGCTGCCTTTTCATTTTGTTGGTTTCTTTTGCTGTGAAAATAACCATTGTTTTGAGCTCTGAATCTTATAGTTTGCTTGTCTCCATTTCAGTTAGTTCTTTTTCTGGAACTCTCTAGTGTTCTTTCATTTGGGACACGTTTCTTTGTCTCCCCATTTTACCTGTCTCCTTGTGTTTGTTTTTATGTAGAGTTCTTACATCTCCTGGTCTTTGCAAAATGACTTTATGTAGTAGGGGTCCTGTGGGGCCAATAGCATAGTCTTCCTGGTCACCTGAGCTGGGTGCTCCAGGTGTGTCCCTTGTGTGGGTGGTGTGTGTCTTCCTGTTGTAGTTGACCCTTGATTGCTGTTTGGAGGGATTGACTCTCAGGGTGATTGGTTGTAAAAACTGGCTGTTGTGCTGAGGCTGACCCTAAATAGCAGATTTGCTTTCGAGGGCCTCCAGTGCCTTCTGAGAGTGCCCTTTGCGTGTGTGATTTGTGGAGGTGGTTGGGTGGAGCTCTCGTGTGTTCTGAAGCTGGCCACTGGGTGTGCTGGCTCTGGGGTCTCTTGAAAGGTGCAGGCCAAGGTCAGCTGTTTCCTGTGCCCTGCTGGGGGCCACCTGGTCTAAGCTACAAAGTGATAAGCAGATGGTTGCCACTTGTGCTGGGCTCGGAGGTACCTGGAAGAGACTAAGCTGTGAACCAAGTCCAGCTGCTGCTAGTGCTGGATGAGGGGCACTTAGAAGGAGTTATGGGGCCAGATGCTGCTTGTTTGGGAATTGTGGACCTTTGAGAGATTTTAGGAAAGTCCACAGTATGAGCCAAGGCTGTCCATTTGTATGGAAAAGCCACTAGAAGTGGTTTGGATGGGCCCAGAAGTTGAGTGTGGCAGGGTCTCAAGGCAGGGCAAACAGTGTGAACCTTGTTGATGGAGACTCAGATATGAGTCCACCTGAGCCTGCAGGGAGAAGGTTCAGCAAAGGAACAATGACTTCTACCATTCCTCCTATCTAAGAGAAAGCTGCCCCTCCAGCCCTCACCCTGAAGCCAGATGATTCAGTCCCTCCCTATATGTCCCTGGCACCTTTCAAGCTGCTGTACCAGCACTGGAGCTCAGAGTTAGATTGAGTGAGTCCATGTGCAGGCCCTTTACGAGGAATTCCTGGGACTCCAGAAGCCCTCTGTCTCACTCAGCCACAATCCTCACTAGTTTTTTAAATTATTTTTAAAAGATTTTATTTATTTGTTTTTAGAGAGAGGGGAAGGGAGAGAGCAAGAAAGGGAGGGAAATATCAGCGTGTGGTTGCTTCTTGTGTGATCCCTACTGGGGACCTGACCTGCAACCCAGACATGTACTCTGACTGGGAATCGAACCAAGCACCTTTTGGTTCCCAGGCTGGTGTTCAATCCACTGAGCTGCACCAGCCAGGGCCTCACTGGTTTTTTGTAGCCAGAATTATAGAGACTTTTCTTTCCTGCACTGGAATCCCGGGCTTGGAAACCAGTCTGTTCCACCTCTCCATCCTCTCTACCAGTCTCAGTGTGACTTCTTATTTATATCCTTAGTTATAGCATTTCTGCTCAGACAGAGTTCAGGCAGTTCTGAATGATGGTTGTTCTATAGTTTTGTTGCAATTTTGAAGTGGTCACGGGAAGAGGTTAGTACAGTGTTTACTTACTCCACCATCTTTGCTGGAAGCCCCATGTACTTCTCAATTCATAGAACACAGTCAGGAATTCCAGATGAGGTTCGCCCAGACCTCAGCCTGGAGTGCTGTAATTTATTGTTTAGAACATAAGAGAGTAGTTCTAAAGTGGAGACTCCTCTCCTCAGAATTGCCAGAGTCTTGAACCTCTTTAATTTTTTTGTATGATTTCTCTTAAATAAATGGCATCTAGTCAAGATCTTTAAAATTGTGCTAATGTCTGGCAACACTCAGTACAGCAAGCAACATTTCTAAATTGATCAAGCCATAGTACATGCCAGGTACTATGCCAGGAAGTTTTCAGTGTGATTTCATTTGATCTTCACAAATATGCTAAGTTGCAAATTGAATGGACTCTCATAGGCTCTAAGATGCATATGCTCCACATTTCCATACCCTTGAATCTGTGATTTGCATGATCATCAACAGCATTTTACACTGACTGTCAGCCAGACAATGACACAGTTGCGGTTGCTTATATATGCACAAACTTGGTTATCACATCTTTGTACATATTCATGTACACTGCTGGTAACTCATGTGCTGCATACAACTGTCATTTGAAATATCAGCAAACACTACACTATGATTTGGCTTGTGTGATGTGTGTGAAGAACAACATGTTAACAGTCCAGCAGGATACAAACTGGCAATGAAGCATACAGCCATTGTTTTAGGGATAGACTGAAGTGCATGTTTTCTTGCAAATCAACAACCAAGTTCTTCATGGGATAAAAGAAAGCAAGACACCTTTATTAGATGAAGAATATCACATTTTATTTCTGAGACAGATGCAAAAACATTGCCTAGAGCAAAGCAAACAACATAATGGAAGGCAGGAGGAGTTGCCAGATCTCTAAGAACAGATGAAGGAAAATCCAAAGAAAGGACTGAAGGAACCAGTTCGATCATAACTGTCAGCAGCTTAGAATGAAACTAAACTTTGCATGACCAGCACTGCTGGTGGCACAGAAAACAATGTTTCTGTAAAAGAAATGTATAAGAAAGCACAGGCAATGATCTTGAGTGAAAAATGGCTCACAGTGGGCAGGCTCTGGATGTGGAGAAGTTTTAGTAAAGTCTTCATTCACTTATTTTACGTGTATTTATATTTTTATGTTTGTCTTCCAAGAGTCTATGTGTAAAAATGTTTAAAGTAGCTCTGCTAAGACGTATAAATATTCTAAGTGATGAGATCATTGCTTCATAGTTTAGAGTTATAAAATAATCATGTGTTTTTCAATAACATCTTGGTTTTAATGAAATAGAATATAACGATATATAATTGTCTATCATAAAATGGATGGCTGGGGTCGGGTGGAGTGGTGAGGAGAAAATGGAGACGACTGTACTTGAACAACAATTTTAAAAATAAATATAAATAAATGGATAAATAAATAAATAAATAAATAAATAAAATGTATCAGTGATTATCCCTGCAAGCTGCCCCACACCATATCCTTAGATGAAAAATAAGTATCAACTTACCCATCAATTTGGATTTGGACCACAAACCCAAGCATCAACTCATCCTATTCTCAAAGCAGCTCCCAAACCTCAATATCATCCCAGCTTCCTCCCCACTCCTAACCACCTCCAAAGCATCTTTGACACACAATTCCATTGTTTAAAACCTGTAAACCTCCTGTCTGTCTGGTAGCTTAGTCTGGGAACTCCTCTGTCTTCCCCGGAAACCCTCCTCTCCGGAAGGTCCTAGACTGCCCAGGGCCTCCCTGAACTATCTCCCATGCAGGGATGGCCCCCAGACCATAACCCACACCTTTAAACAAACTTAACCTGGGCTTCTTCTGTACCCATTTGCCCTCCCTGAGGACTCATGGCCATTTCTCAGCCCTATGTTGAGCCCCTTTTCCTTTCTCTCACAGTTTTTTCTGTCTGCATAACAATCTTCCTCTCCCAGAGTTCAAAGGTAGTCACAGGTAAGGATAAGGAGGGAGGGAGGTGCCCTCAACAATTGTGTGTCTGTTTCTTCTTGGACGCACACCTCCAATCTCTCCCAGGCAACCCTGTTGTCTCAGAGCTCTGGCTGTGCCCATCGGCACTTAGGTCTGGAGAGGATGTCTACAGCTCCTTGGAACAATGCTGTGACGAGGACCATCCTGCCCCTGAACAGGACTAGCCTGTGAGGTCCCAGTGTACTTTCTGGGTGTCGATATGTAACTCAGGGAAGTCATGGCCTTGCTGAAGTCTGTGATAGTCCTAGTGTGAGAACAGACACTTCAGTGTCACAATTTGTGACCTGGTTTGGACTTTCATGGCTTGGAATTGTTGGGTGACTCCTACCACCTCCAGGTAGAAACCCCAACTCCTTGGGTGTCCAGCAAGGTCCCAGGACCTGTCCTGCTCTGCCTCTGCACCTACCTCTGCAGTGGCATGGGCCTCCATCCCCCATTCAGCACAGTCCCACCTGCAATTCCCTAGGCAGGCTCCACCTGACTCCAGCCATCCTTGCCTGCAGCCCTCCACCCTTCCTGGAAACACCTTTACTTCCTCAAGACTCGGCTCAGGCAGCAAGTCCTTCCACCTTCCTGCCCTGCTCCCAGTCTCCCGGTGATCATGAGTTAGGACCCTTCTATCTGTCCCCACAGCACTCCTGCTCAGCTCTAGAACTGTAGGTAGTGCAGGTCTGGAGGTGGATTGTGTGTGGGAGTAGAGGGAAGCTTCAAATTTGCAGGGTGGAGAAGTATGGGAAGTCTAGGATGAGCTGGCATTTGGTGGGTGATGTGTCAATGAGTCTTTTCCGGCTGGGTTTCCCCCTCAGCAGTGTTCAAGGAAAGATGTTCCAACTTGGAAAGGTTCCAAGGTAGTATTCATACTGAAGCTTTAGATCTCTAAAGGTTTCAACCAGTTAGAACTAGTTCAGGAATATTTTAAAAAATTTTGTGTGTGTTTTTTCCACCACGTAATTATGACTCCTTATGCCCTCCCTCTCTGGCTGCCCAGCCCTTCTATTGTGAACCATGGGAAATGGCCTGGTTTAGAGGATATATAAGTCATAGGATCCAGGTGCTGGAGCTGCTCTACCATCAGCTACTCTGCCATCAACTACTCTGGAGGGTAATTAAGACCTATGGTGCCCAGGATCTTTGGTAAGGGGGCTCCAGCCCCAAGTCCAGCTGATGTGTTATGACATCTGAATGTATCTCTTGTGCTCTTAATGTCATATCCTTAAAAATGCTGCCTAAACCACAGTCATTAAGATTTTTTCCATTATTCTCTGTTAAGAGTTGTGCAGCTTTAGCTCTTATATTTAGGTTTATGATCAATCCAGAGGTAATCTTTGTACATGGTATGTACCAAGGGATTCCTCTTCTTCTCCCTCTTCTTTTTCTCCTCCTCCTTATCCTTCTTTTTTCACATGTGGACATCCAGGTTTCCCAGCATCTTTTTTGAAAAGGCAATTCTTTCCTCCTTGTAATTAGCACTTTTAATTGTATTAGCACTTTTTTTTAAATTAAATTCACCATAAATATAAGGGTTTATTTCTGGACTGTCCATTCTATCCACTGATCTATATGGGTATGTGGATATATACTAAGTATATGGATGTATATATTAAATGTCACTACCACAGTGCCTTGACTACTGTATCTTTGTAGTAAGCTTTGAAATCATGGAGTGTCATTTCAACAACTTTGTTCTTCATTTTAAAGATTGTTTTAGCTATTTTGGGTCTCTTGCATTTCAATACAAATTTCAGGATCCACTTGTTAACTTCTGAAATCTTCCCATTTATGAACATGGATGTATTTCAATTAATTTATATGTTGTCTTCAATTCTTTTCAGTAATGTTTTGTTGTTTTTAGTGTACAAAGTTTGCACTTTAAATTTTTTTTACTTTTTTAAAAACTATATTTCATTGATTATGCTATTACAGTTGCTCCTTTCCCACCCCTGTTTATTCCCCTCTGCCCCGCATCCCCCATCCCACCCACACTCCCCACTTTAGTTCATGTCCATGGGTCATACATATAAGTTCTTTGGCTTCTCTATTTATTATACTATTTTTAAGCTTCCTCCATCTATTTTGTACCTACCATTTATGCTTCTTATTCCTTGTACCCTCCCCCCCCATTTTCCCCCACCCGACCCCTGCTAATAACCCTCCATGTGATCTCCATTTCTGTGATTCTGTTCCTGTTCTAGTTGTTTGCTTAGTTAGTTTTAGTTTTAGTTTTTGGGTTTTTTTAGGTTCAGTTGTTGATAGTTGTGAGTTTGTTGTTATAAACTGTTCATAGTTTTGACCTTCTTCTTTTTCTTAGATAAGTCCCTTTAACATTTCATAATAAGGGCTTGGTGGTGATGAACTCCTTTAACTTGACCTTATCTGGGAAGCATTTTATCTGCCCTTCCATTCTAAATGAAAGCTTTGCTGGATATAGTAATCTTGGATGTAGGTCCTTGCCTTTCATGACTTGGAATACTTCTTTCCAGCCCATTCTTGCTTGCAAGGTTTCTTTTGACAAATCAGGCTTCTTTTGAGCAGACTGATAAAGACTGATAGTTTTATGGGAACTCCTTTGTAGGTAACTGTCTCCTTTTCTCTTGCTGCTTTTAAGATTCTCTCCTTATCTTTAATTTAGGTAATGTAATTATGATATGCCTTGTTGTATGCTTCTTTGGGTCCCACCTCCTTGGGACTCTCTAGCTTCCTGGACTTCCTGAAAGTCTACTTCCTTTGCCAGATTGGAGAAGTTCTCCTTCATTATGTTTCCAAATAAGTTCTCAATTTCTTACTCTTTCTCTTCTCCTTCTGGCATCCCTATGATTTGATTTGGACATTGGAACATTTAAAGTTGTCCCAGAGATTCCTAAGCCTCTCCTCATTTTTTAAAATTCTCTTTTCTTCATTCTGTTCTGGTTGAATGTTTATTTCTACCTTGTGTTCCAAATTGTTGATTTGAGTCCCCATTTCCTTCCTTTCACTGTTGGTTCCCTGTACATTTTCATTTATTTCACTTTTTATAGCCTTCATATTTTCCTCTATTTTGTGAGTGTACTCAGCCTTTTTGTGAGCATCCTGATTACCAGGTTTTTTTTAGCTCTGCATCTGATAGGTTGGCTATCTTTTCATCGCTTAGTTATATTTTTTCTGGAGTTTTTATCTGTCCTTTCATTTGAGCCCTTTTAAAAAAAATTTTATTTTTAGTTTAGAGAGAGGGAAAGGGAGGGAGAGGGAAACATCAATGTGTGGTTGTCTCTCCCACACCCTCTACTGGGGACCTGGCCTACAACCTAGTCATATGCCCAACTGGGAATTGAACCAGCGACCCTTTGGTTTGCAGGATGGTTCTCAATCCAGAACCACACCAGCTAAAGCTAGTTTTCTTTTTTGACATCTTCCTTCCCTAGAATTAATGGTGAAAATAATATTTCTGATATGAAACCACAAAAGTCTCTGAATATCCACAGCAATATTCAGAAAGAACAAAGTTTGAGGAGTCATGTTGCTTGATATCAAACTATAATACAAGGTTATAGTAATCAAAAGAGCATGGTACTGGCATAAAAAATAGATGTATATATTAATGGAGTGGAATAGAGAGATCAGAAATAAACCCATAGCCATATGGTCAATTCATTTTCAATAAAGAAGGTGAGAACATGCAATAGGGTAAAGACAGTCTAGTCAATAAATGACATTGGTAAAATTGGACCAAAAGATATGTGCAAAAACAAAATAAATAGACTACATTCTTTTTTTTTAGATTTTATTTACCCATCTCTAGAGATGGAAGGGAGGGAGGGAGAGAGAGAGAGAGAGAGAGAGAGAGAGAGAGAGAGAGAGAGAGAAACATCAATGTGCGGTTGCTGGGGGTTATGGCCTGCAACCCAGGCATGTACCCTGGCTGGGACACTTTGGTTCCCAGCCCGCGCTCAATCCACTGAGCTACGCCAACCAGGGCTAATTCTTATACCATATACAAGAAGAGTCAAAATAGTGTAAAGGCTTAAATGTAAAACTCAAAACCATGAAACTCGTGGACGAAAACATAGGCCATAAAATCTCAATCATTTCTCTGAGTGACATTTTTTCTGATATATCAACATTGTTTTCTGATATATCTCTTTGGGCAAGGGAAACAAAATAAAAAATAAACAGGAACTTCTTCCCAAGATGGAGGTATAGGTAGGTACACTTTGTTTCCTTGTACAACCAAAAGAAGAATAACAACTAATTTAAAAACAATAAACAACCAAAACTGCCAGAAAATCAAACTATATGAAAGTCCAGTAACCCAGGAGTTAAAGAGGAAACATTCATCCACACTGGTAGGAAGGGCAGAAATAGGCAGCCAGGCGGTGAGGTCATGCAGCCAGGAAGCAGCTGGCGGACCAGGTGGTCCTACATTCACATGCAGATAATCCAGGAGGAACAACTGGTGAGTGAGACAGACCACACAACCCAGGGGTTACAGTGCAAGAAACTAAAGCCTCGAAACCACTGGCTGTAAAAATCTGTGGGGGTTGCAGTGGAGGGAGCAACTCCTGGTTTCACAGGAGAGTCCATTGGAGGAACACATGAGGTCCTAAAAGGTACACAAGCCCACCCACCTGGGAATCAGCACTACAAGGGCCCAATTTGCTGGTGGGTAGTGGGGTAAGTGACTGAAAGTGGGGTGTGAGCTGAGCAAGCAGCACTGTTCCCTCTCTGACTCCTCCCCCACAGACAGAGTCACAACACAGAAAAGTGAGTCACGCTGCTATGGTGAATACCTAAGTCTCTTAAGTCTCTGCCCCTTACAATGTAACAGCTGTGCCAAGACAAAGAAATATGGCCCAAATGAAAGAACAGATCAAAACTTGAGAAAAAGAGCTAAACAACAAGGAGATAACCAACCTATCAGATACAGAGTTCAAAACACTGGTAATCAGGATGCTCACAGAACTGACTGAGCTTGGTCACAAAATGGAGGAAAACATGAAGGCTATGACAAGTGAAATAAAGAAAAATATACAGGAAACCAACAGTGAAGGAAAGGAAACAAGGACTCAAGTCAATGATTTGGAACAGAAGGGAGAAATAAACATTCAACCAGAACAGAATTAAGAAACACAAGAATTCAAAAAGTATAGAGAGGCTTAGGAATCTCTGGGACAACCTGAAACATTCCAACATCCAAATCATAGGGGTGCCAGAATGAGAACAACAGTCAAGAAATTGAAAACTTATTTGAACAAATAGTGAAGGAAAACTTCCCCAATCTGGCAAAGGAAATAGACTTCCAGGAAGTCCAGGAAGCCCAGAGAGTCCCAAAGAAGTTGGATCCAAAGAACACACCAAGGTACATCATCATTACATTACCCAAGATAAAGGTTAAAGATAAAGAGAGAATCTTAAAAGCAGCAAGAGAAAAGGAGACAGTTACCTACAAAGGAGTTCCCATAAGACTATCAACTGATTTCTCAAAAGAAACCTTGCAGACAAGAGGGGCTGGAAAAAAGTATTCCAAGTAATGAAAGGCAAGGACCTACATCCAAGATGACTCTATCCAGCAAAACTATCACTTAGAATGGAAGGGCAGATAAAGTGCTTCCCAGATAAGGTCAAGTTAAACAAGTTCATCATCACCAAGTCATTATCATATGAAATATTAAAGGGACTTATCTAAGAAAAATAAGATAAAAATATGAACAATAAAATGACAACAAACTCACAACTAGCAACAAATTAACCTAAAAGAAAAGAAAAACAATGACAACAAAAACTAATCAAACAACCAGAACGGGAACAGAGTCAGTGAAATGGATATCACATGGAGGGAGTTCAGTGGGGAGGGGGAAGGGAGGAATAGGGGGGAAAAGGTACAGGGAAGAAGGAGCATAATTAGTAGGCATAAAATAGATGGGGAGAGATAAAAATGGTACAGGAAACAGGAGCCAAAGAATTTATATGTACAACCCATGGACATGAATTGGGGGGGAAGCTGGAGGGTTGTGGGGACAGGGTGGAGGGGGGATAAAGGTGGAAATATTGGGAAAACTGTAATAGGATAATCAATAAAAAATACTTAGAAAAAAAATAAAAATGGAACTGCCTTATGACCCAGCAGCTCCACTTCCAAGGTATATATCCAAAGAAACCCA